GGGAGGGGCGGGAAGCGTAGGGAGGACGGGGAAGGCAGCGGCAGGCCCAGGCCCTCGCAGGCCGCGTCCTCCACGTCGCAGGTAAAGTGGTAGAGGCGGTAGGAGTCGTGCATGGAGGGGAGGGGGTGCTTCCCGCTCGATCTCCCGCCGGGCCCCGCCCGAGGCCGCTCGAGGCGCTCTGTCTTCACGTCTGCCAACGTTTGCACCAGGCCCAGGGCAATCATCTCGTCCCCCAGCCTCAGCGCCTCAGCCCGAGACGCGGCATGTCCCTTGATGTGCAGCCATGAAACCGCCTCTCCGCCAATGAAACAGGACGGCAACACCACCTTGGACTTGGGCACTTTCCGGTCCCGGATCTATGAAAGGGATGAGGATCACTGTGAGAGCCATGGCAAGTGACAATCAGGGATAGAAGGCCAACATCACGAGTCTGGGTGGGCAATTTAATGCGTAGAATTCGTCCAAGGGTGACGTATTCCGTTCGACAAGATGCTCGGATCTGGCAGCTGTTCATTGTGAAAACCCACTATAATTCATGCTCCACTTACCTCCAATCCCAAATACATAAGATATGCCAGCTCCCGTATGTAGGCAGGCGGATAAATCTGCCTGCCCCCCCGCAATTGTCGCCGGGATGTGCTGAAAACGGGATCCACCATCTTCCAACACTCTACCTTCGCACGAAGAATGCCGGCTGAGGCATGATCTGCCTGCCCTGAAATCTCCAAAGATCCTCGACCATTAGCCTGTCAAAAATTGTGTCCTGTGATCATATCATTTGAGAATTAAAAGGCTTACAAATTTCGTGCGCGAAAAGTAAATGTACCCAGGGTGAGACCTGCAAAACGTGCTGTTTTCTGCTCCCACGACGGCACAAGGGAGCTGGGCGATTCGATGATTTTGATGGAAAAGGGTACGGCCCCGCTCCGCCCGCTGCTGATGACGTGGGGGTGTGATGGAAACGACCGCAACCTGCCTTTATGATGGAAAAGGCCTCAACCCTCGGTGCCGGATTCTCGCGCTCTCATCATGGAAGTAAGTCAACGACAGACGACTGTCGCTCCGGCGGGCACACGCACCCAGCACACGCCGCCTCCCGTGCTTCATTGATGCATTACCGCAATATTTCATGTGTGGTGGAAATGTAGAAGCCACTATGCCTGGTGGCTGTCCATATTTGAAGCTTAAGTCCTCTATCCCGCGGTATTTCCAAGTTCAGGTACCGGGCACAAATGCATCGCCCCTTCCTTCTACAGGGGACTGTTGCCCCCATCTCTCTTTTGCTGGGCTTGCTGGTCATCTGTACCATAACGCATGGCTTTTTTGTCCCATACCTGCCCTCCTCGTCATTGTCGTCGTCAGCGTCAGGTAAGCTTGGTTACCGCAGCCAGCAACTTTCTTTTGCAGCCTTCGTTCATCTGCTTGAGTCTCGTGTGCTCCCATCTCGCTCCTGCCTCAAGGCGAGCATCTCGTATGGCTGTTTGGGCAAGAATGTGGTGTATGGATGTACCACCACTGTGCGCCATAGCATTCCAGAGGTGTGAGGATGTGCTGGGTCAGCGGCTTTGGTCCTTCTGCTCATCCAGAGCAGAGTATGTGACGTGGGAGAGACTTTCTGTACTCGTCAATCTCTCAAATCAGTAACACGCATGTGTACATGTCATGTAGCAAGCCGCGATTGAGCAACACTTTGTGGTCTATTTTGTTTAACAGTTCGCGAGAATAAAGCGCTGCAAGCAGAAAGTCATGACTTACTTCCTTCATCTACAACGATGCGATGTTCACGAATTTACAACAGCAATGAGCGTCGTATCTGGATTGTCCGTAGGCAAGGCAGTACCGCGCTTAGGTAGTAGCCAGCTATGGGCGGAGGTGGCAGGTGCGTCATGCTGGCTATAAAGAGGGCGGGAAATGAATCTTTCGAGAAGTTATAAACCGCGCGTTTCGCCGATGGACGCTATGAAAGCTTCGGTTAAAGAGGCGGAAATGGGACGATCAAGAACTGGGGAAGAGGGTTGAAGAAGAGGTCGTGGGGGCGTAGATAAAGCTGTGTTGAGTTCTTTCTCCCCCTCTCATTTCTGTGCCCTCCCTTTCCTTCCGCCCACAGAGAAATCTGAAGGAGTATCGGATGTGACGGAACGGGTCATCACCGTCTCAGACTCGGCCCTAAAGCATTTGGAAGACCTGCGCGCGAAGCAAGGAGTGGAGCACCTGTACCTGCGGATGGGGGTGCGGTCGAGGGGGTTGCTCGGGCATGAGCTACGTCCTGGCGTGATGAAGCCAGAGGTGCGTTCCTCGGGTGGTGTGGGAGTGTCGCGGATCCACAAAGGCCGGGCGTGGTGGCGCGAAAAACTCACTCCCTTCCTCCTTCCCGCCCTCTCCCCATCCATCCTCCAGGAGGTGACCGAGGAAGATCACGTGGAGAGCTACAGCGAGCACCACTTCTCCTGCGTCGTGGACCCCAAGAGTTTGCTCTACCTTTTCGGCCTTCGCCTGGACTTTAAGGATCAGTTGATCGGGGGAGGGTTCGCGTTTTTGAACCCGAACGCCCAGGAAAGCTGCGGGTGCGGTTCCTCTTTTGGGGTGTAGGGAGGAGAGAAGGAAAAAGCGAGGGGGTGGACGGGAGTGCGCGTGGTCACGCCTCGCAAGAAGGCGGACGTTGCCGCAGGGGCGACGAGGAAGCCTCCATCTTTATTTGAGCGATTTCGCCTTTCTTGCTTCGCCTGATCCAACCGCCACCGGGGAGCTGCAGTGACGTTGTCGGGACGGTCATGTACATTTGTGTCAGTTTCAGCTTTTAGAAATGGATGCCAGCGCCTGTTACACCCTAGCTCAGTAGCAGTAGCCGCCTTGGCTAAAAAGGAATCACGAAAATTGAAGCGCATAGTAGTGGACAGCTGAGCCCAGCCTTCACTTGTACGCTCGAGTGTGGCGGCGTCCTTTTTTCATTTCATCGCATTCTTTTCGAAATTTTGTCCTACCCTCCTTTGCCACTGGTCCTACCAAAGACCCAGGCAACGCTCGTGTAGGCGCTTCCTGACGCCTTCGTCCACTCAGCCAAGCCCCGCTATTGATTTGATGCTCTGTATCCAAAACCCTTTGCTTTCTCTCCAACGATCGATCCGTCCTGCGGGCAGACGAGGAGGACTCGTGGCCCGTGCCCCCTCTTCTTTCCCTTGATATCATTCTTGCTGCACCCGGCTGGCCCCCCATGCTTCCGACCCCGACACCCATGGATACCCCTTCCCCAATCCAGCTGTTGAAAAGAAAACTATCGTCTCTGGCATTTACTGTGCCTTGCGCTGTCTGAGCCGGGAAATCTCGATGAGCTTGTCCTTGATTCGGTCGTTGAACATCCATATCATCCACCCGATGACTTTCGCGGACAGGCCTGATGGGAAGCAGCGAGTCGCCGGGTGGGGTAGAAGGCGTGGGAGCGACCAAATGAGAGAAAGGGTTGACGTGTGGATGCTTATGGGCGCTGAGAAAGGGGTGGGAGGTATTGGGGCGGCCTCTCCGATCCCTCTGCTCCTTTCATCCCCCCGCGCCCCTCTACCTGTCCCCACGGATCTACTTCAGAGCCCGCCCCTAGTATCCGTATCCGCCCAGGAAAAGATGAATCTGTACTTACCGTCTACGTTGGCAACCACGTAGCGGGTCTGTGGGTGCTTGGCGGTCAGGGCGTGGAGGATGGCGTCACTCGTCACGGTGGGGGGACTCGCCTTCTCGATGCACCGTCGCGTGTACGTGGGATTCTGTACGAGATGGCCGTACACTTCCATCACCTGCAAGATGCGATGACGGCGAGGGGTGTGTGAATTGAGCGTTAGCCGGAGCGGGCAAGCTGAAGGAAACGGGGAGGACCGCCATAACCACATTCCCACCTTTTCGGACACGGAGTCCGCGGTTTCTTTCACCCTGGTGGCTATTTTGCCAAAAATTGCGCTTGTGACATAGGCTGGCTCGACCACTGACACCGAGACTCCAAGCTCCCCCATTTCAACGCGCAGGGCGTCGGAAAACGCCTCTAACGCCCACTTGCTCGCACAGTAGTCTGTCATGAAGGGCGCCACAGTCAGACCGGCCAGGCTGCTGATGTTGATGACCCTCCCTTTACTGGCACGGAGGAGGGCTAAAAATGCCTTGGTGGTGGCGATGGCACCAAAAAAATTCACGTCAAAAAGCCAGCGCAAGTCATCCATGCTCTGAAACTCGACAGGCTTGTTTGACCCGCCCACGCCGGCGTTGTTCACCAGCCCCACAAGAGGCCTTCCTCCCAAAGAGTCCAATGTACTGCTGACAGTTTGCACAGCTTTATCAATCTGCTCTTGCTTCGTCACATCGAGGATGATGGGTACTATATTTTCCTGAGATTCTAGCGTCGGGGCCTCGGCCTTCAAGGTCTCTCCGTCTAGTTCCTTCCGAACACCGGCAAAAACAAGGAAGCCTGCTCGAGCTAGGCTATGGGCAGCATGTGCACCAATGCCAGTTGAGGCGCCTGTGACCACAACGGCCCCTTCTGGAGGTGGGACTGGGTATTCTCGGCGCGTGGCTAGGTCGAGGAGGTACGGGATGGAAGCGAGGAACGCGACGAGGAGAGCAGAGAATCTGATACCCATCATTCTCGAACCACAGACAGCTGTGAGTAAAAAGTATGTATCATATGCAAGGAATTCGTCAGGTCGTTGAAATGCTCCAACATGCTCGGCTATGGAGACACCAAGGTCTAAGAGAGTCGTGGCGGCGTGACGAACACAGCGGGGGGAGAGGCAAGTGGGAGACAGCGAGTACTACTCTAGCACTCACGGACACAAGTAGCGAGTGGAAGCCGTGTGGAGACACGTATGATGCTTCAATATGTCATGGAGCAATTTCAACCTTTTCTCAACAACGCTAGATACTTGCAAGTTGTAGTTAGTACTTTGCCTGGAGTGGGATTTGGTGTCCGTACGTGGCGGGGTTGAACATGCGCGCTGAACTAGTTCCCAGCGCTTTTTATCCCCTCAGTATTTTTATTAAGATATAACCCCATTAAATCATCTCTTCACAGGCCATTCCTGACACTCGTCTATCCTGCGCCTCTTCCCCTGTTGCATGGGATTATCGCGCGTGCGTTGCTGATGGTCTCTAGCCCTGACCGCGGCCCCGCAAAGCGCCTCTTTTTCTCGTCAGGTCTCCTTCTCTTCCTCACCACCACAGTGCTGAGAAAGACAGGCATGCGAAGTGCATCAGCTATACTGAGGAGAGGAGCTTTCAATTGTATAAGTCCATTCAACAGCGCTGCCTTCATCAGACCCGTGAGTGTACCGGGAAGAGTACATCGAAATTTCATTGGTGGGAATCCTCACAAGAGCACTTCAAGTCCTGGCCAACGTACTAACTCTCTTCGAAGTACAAGCCCAGCAACCGCAGCATATCCAGAAATATCTTATGCCCAATCCGATCAACCTACGGAGGGAGACGATCCCGTACCCGCGGTGGCTAATTACACGCGCCTCATGTCCCAGTCGGAACTGCATCGGGATTTCCACGATCTGGGAAAGCTGAGTGCCGCGGACGCTGGCAAGGTGGTGTGGGTCCGGGCCCGTATTGCTAACGTCCGCGCAAAGGGCAATTCGTGTTTCCTTGTCCTCCGTCAAGGGCCTTTCGAGACGGTGCAGGCGTGTTATTTCAAGGACAAAAGCGCACCAGAGCGATCCAAGGCCATGCTGAAATTTATGGGCGGGCTCACTTGTGAGAGCGTCGTGGACGTGCAAGGCACCTTACAAGCTGCGCAAGTGAAATCGTGCTCGGTCACAGACGTGGAGTTGTCAATCCAACGGGTCTACGTAGTCTCATCCGCCGAGGCGATCCTACCGTTTCAATTGGAAGATGCGGGTCGGCCCGAGGCTGAGGTGGAAGCGTCGCAAAGCACCGACCGACCGTTTCCTCGCATCGGTCAGGAGCTTCGCCTGGATAACCGGTGGCTGGATCTGCGCGTTCCTGCCAACAACTGCATCATGCGCATTCAATCGGGCGTTTGTCAGCTTTTTCGGGAAAGTCTTTATGCGGAAGGATTTGTGGAGATCCACACGCCCAAATTGATCGGAGGGGAGAGCGAGGGCGGAGCCGGCGTGTTTAAGACCGACTATTTTGGTCGACCCGCGTGCCTGGCCCAATCTCCTCAGCTGTACAAGCAGATGGCGGTGTCGGCGGATCTAGGCAGGGTCTTCGAGATCGGCCCCGTCTTCCGCGCCGAGAACAGCAACACGCGCCGACACCTGTGCGAATTTACGGGGCTGGACCTGGAAATGACGCTGGATGAGCATTACAACGAGGTCCTCGCCATCGCACACCGCATGTTTAAACACATCTTCGAGGGTTTGGAGACGCGGTTTGCCAAGGAGCTGGCAATCATCCGAGAGCAATATGCCTCAGACCCGGTCGCCTTCACGGACGGGCCTTGCATCGTGCACTGGCCGGAAGCCATCCGGATGCTGCGGGAGGAGGGAGGAATGCCCGAGGTGGGCGAGCTGGAAGACTTGACCGGGGCCCAGGAGCTGCGACTCGGGGAGCTCGTCAAAAAAAGGCACGGGGCAGACTTTTTCATCCTCGACAAGTATCCATCGGCTGTCCGTCCCTTCTACACGATGCCCTGCCCGTCCGATGCCGCCTACAGCAACTCGTACGACATGTTTCTGCGTGGCCAGGAGATCTGTTCGGGCGCTCAACGTATCCATGATCCGGACTTGCTGACTCGGACAATAGCGGCCAAGGGCTTGCCGATGGAGCCGTTAGAGTCTTACGTGAATGCCTTTCGGCATGGTGTGCCGCCGCATGGGGGGGCGGGCATTGGATTGGAGCGGGTAGTATTTTTGTATCTTGGGTTGGATAATGTGCGTAAGGCTTCCATGTTTCCGCGCGATCCGAACCGGTGCGAGCCTTGAGAAAGGAGGATACAAAAGCACACTCTTGTGGTAACGGTCTGTTCGCTCTCAGATAACTGAGCAAGAACTCCAAAGAAGCGAATAAAACAGTTGAAATTTCGTAGAAGGCTTGGGTATTCGTATGTTGTACGTAGCATGGGGGAAGATACTACATGCTGAGGCGCTTGTAACATACCATTTGATCGATACCATTGTATCTCTAGAGGTCATGCGTCCCGGGCTACTCATTTATCTGTCATATGGTGAATGACGCACCTGGTCCGGCGGGAGACGGCGGGTGCTTGTTACTGACTCCAACTCGTCGGCGGAGCGAGGGGAGGGGAGTGAGGCAGGGGAGAGGTTGGGACCCCTCCGTCCAAGCTAGGAATCCTGGCGCCGTCTAGTTCCATCAGCCATACACGACACTGACGATACCCCCGCACGGCCTTCCTTCCTCGATGTCTTGTCTTCAGGCACGGCATTTATGCCCACGCTCGCCCATTCCTGGCCCCCGCTTGCTTTTTCGTCTCCCGTCGCGGGAGGGGGGCGCCCGATCGCCGGGATGTAAGGGTCGTGCGGCATGGAGATGCCCCGTTGCGGATAAAAGCGGTGCATGGGAGAGTAGAAACGGAAGTTCTCCAGCTTACTCAGGTACAGGTCCGCATACCGTCGCAATGAGAATGCAAAGAGCGTGGGCTCCCCCCCCGAACGAAAGACAGAGCCGAAGTTTGCGTTGAACATCTTGGACATCTCCGTCTGTAAGTACCGCAGATACTCCTCCAGGCCGTCCGAGACTCGCACGTCCGCCTCTTGCAATAGGTAAGGGAGCGTCTCCGAGGCCTTACCTTCCCCCCCCCCGGTCGGTCTTCGCGGCCGCCTGCGTGGCCTCGGTCCGGATCTTCTCCATTTCCTCCTGAACCAGGCGCAGCAGTTCCGTGACCGTGACGGCTTGATGGGCGTACTGCCTGTATTTTTTGGACTGCTGCACCACCAACTCGTACTCCAACTCTCGAATGACGGCTCCAGTGCGCCATCCCTGATTCCGTCGACCCCCCACCAGGTCCGCCCAGATCTGGTCGCCGATGTACAAGACCCGCGGCCCCTGCCAGCCCGTCAATTTGGTCAGGCCTTCCAGGGAGCCGTGCGAATAGACCTTCCCTTTCTCTAATGTGGTCACTTCCGTCCAGCGAATCTTCCCCGTACGCTTGTCTACCTGACGGAAGGGTCGGTTGGATGTGTAGAACCCTGGCTTTCCCGCAGAGACGATGACCACGTCAAAGAACTCCTGCCAGTCCGCCCCCAGCAAAAATTGCAGGCCGCCAGAAACGTACTCAAAATTGGAGTTGGAGCACAGAAACAGCTTTTTCCCAACATCGCGGAAACGCATCAATGTTTCGCGCAGGTGTGGAGAGGGTAGCATGTAGGTGGGAGGGTCTCGCACCACGGTCTTGTGCATCTCTCCACTTGTGTGGACATGACTGATTGCTTGTAAGACGTCTTCCACTACTGCCTGCCGGTCATGGTGAATATTCAACTCGTTCAAGTAATCCAGGACATCCGCAACTAGACAAGCCTCCGACAAGGCAAACAAATCCAGAAGCGGTTTCATGTGGTTGTTCCGGTATTGTGGAGAGACATGAGCACCGTCGCCGTACGCAGCCACCACTTCCTCTTTGCTCAGGCGCCGACGCCCACAGAATACTGTCCGGAGTGCTATTTGGTGTATGTAGCTAAGCTTCAGCACCCATCCTCGGTCTACATCTACCGCTAGCCCTCGAACAGCAAAGCGTGGATCGTACATTCGACGTGTCTTCATTTCTGACGGGTAACCCGAATGCTCGATCAGGTAGTCCTTGGCCATGCTGTAAATCAGCCCTTCCATTTTGTGGGTGTAACTCACAAGCGTATAATCATAATCAAAACCTAATACGTCGACTTTGCCCAGATTTATCGAGTTATTGACGAATATGCGGTCTTTGCGCGGCAGGCTTTGCTTCACTTGGTACCCCGGTTGCTGCAGGGAATTAGGTAAATCTGCACTCTCTTGCTCCATTTTGGCCAAGTATTCGCGGAGTAGCCGATTTACCCGCGGATGGGGGTGTGTAATGTCGCTCAATGATGGACCACGCTTGGTGCTGGTAGAGACTGTGCGAAAGCACCGGTATAATCTGCCGCTACCCTTACTGGCATTTCTGACCGCTCTAAAGGTCACTCTCGCCTTGCTTATGCGAAAGGACATTCCAGCCTTGTAACCTGATATGGTAATAATCGCATAGATTACGTGTCATAGGTGAGAAAATGAGACATGGAAGCTGTGGTGGGCAACAATAAGCTCAAGGGCGTTTGTTTGGAAGTAGCAAGTTTGCCGGGAGGTTGGCCCATGACCAAATACCAACAGCCTACGGCCACAAGCCACATTGAGAAGCAGTACGACAAGAAATCTGGAAACAAAAATAATAAGAAATTTGAAATTACATGTGTGTGATTGTCTTTGCTCGGTTTTATTTATCATTACAAAAGTGCTCTCCTTTCCAGGCCGTCATATATCCCGCGCACATTACCCCCCCTATGACACAATCATCCCCGTTCTACCGCTATGAACATGCAGCGACCGCACGCTTACCGACAAAGCACAAAGTTCATCTAGTATGCGAGAGCAAATCGCACTTCTCTCCCTCACTTTTTCCCTCCGCTCCCTCTTCCCTTGAAAAGTTGGAGCGCCTGGACGGGTCTCGCTCGCTTGGCTGGGTCCAAGACTAAAGCTTGCTCCAAAAAACCACGCAAAAGCTCGACCTGTTGCCGAGTTTGTGACGGCATTCTGGCCATGATCTTGGGGGAGCAGAGCATCTCCCCTAATTGCCTACTTGGGCCCGTGGGAGGGGGTAGTGCCCGCACGCTTTCCACTTGACTCCCCTTGTCCAATTCACGCGCCAGGAACATGCCCTCCTCGTCGAAATGTTGGCTCCTCAGCCCTGGGCTGGCCTTTTTTAGCAACTTCCGCGAGAACGGACCCCTCACCTCCATCATTTGTCGAAGCACCTCGTTGTTGTGCCGGCCGGGGAAGAGCACCCGGGCCGTGTAGAGCTCATACATAGTAGTGCCCGCGCTCCACATGTCCATGGCCGGCCCGCGGGGCGGGTACCCCAGTATCACCTCGGGGGCCCGATAGAAGCGTGATTGCAGGTACGGCGTGCTAGTGGCTGCCTCCTCTGCCTCGTTCCCTTCCAGCTCGTGGGTGTGGAGCGCCGAGCCGAAGTCGCAGATCTTCAAGACGGACATGGAGGTATCCACGACTAAATTGTCGGGCTTGAGGTCAGCGTGCGCGACGCCTTGCTGCTCCAGGTAGGCCAGGCCGACGAGCAGCTGAGGAGGGACATGGGTTCGAGAGGGTGCAAGGGAGTGAGACGGACGGAAGCGGAGCGAGGGGAGGTCGCGCCCGCAGTCTGCACCCGCCTCACAGGCAGGGCCTCCCTCAATGGAAAGCGCTTCCGGGCGACACAGTTCGGACACACGCATGACACAAACGAGCTTCGCGAGACATGCTTACCTGTTGCGCGTAGGAAAGGACGGCCTTGATGGCCAGTCCCTGCGAGGGCCCATAGGTCTTCAAAAGCTTCCTCAGGTTCAGGTGCATCGCCTCCATCACCACGCACACGTGACCCCCCAGCCTGAACTCCTCGTGAAAGCGAACCACGTGCCCCTCGTCCCTCTTGTCCCCTTCTGTCAGGGCGCGGAGGAGTGCTGCCTCTTTCAGGCCTGCCTGCAACATCAAGTCGTTGCCCCGCAAGACCTTGATGGCCACCGTCCTGGGCGAGGGCCCGAGGGGAGAGGTGGGGACGGCTTGCGTGTCGTGGGCCACGAGGACGGAGCTGAAGACACCGCGTCCCTTGACGCCGAGGATCTGAGCAGGAGGGGCGGGAGGGGAGGGAGAGTGAGACAAGCGGCGAGGACCCCAGGGACGCGGAAGGAGACTGCAGGCATTCACGGAGGCGGAGCCAAACAGTATGGGGGAGTAACGGGTCAGACCCTGGCACATAGTAGATACACGCAGGCAGGGCAGCACAAGGCAGAAGTGAGCGTGTGGCACCCAAATGGGACGACGGGCCCAAGGCGTCCGGCCTCCGTAGTGGGGGAAGGCGCGGCACAGCCTCGCCGTAGAGCAGGCAGTGCGATTCTTCTTCTCCAAAAGCGAAACCCAAGTCCGGCGTGATCGAGGCGGGCGCCAAGGCCGCGCCCTGCCAGCACGGGTATTAGATTGGAGTCACATCCCCC